CAAGGCTTATTGAAATAAAGAAAGGCTTGAGGTAACTGCTTTGCCCAGCCTGATTAGACTAGCCAAGGGCTCACATAATTTATATCAATTACTTGGTTTGAGATTGCTTTTATTCTCCCTACAATCCTGTTATCACCTGAGAAGGCATCATATTCCCCCTGACTCATGGAGAGTTGTGTTTCATGTTTTAATTTGCTAGAACAGTGATTATGCGCAAGTGAGAGAATTTCACAAGCGAAATGTCTTGTCAGTGAAAATAGCAGCTTTACTCCTACATTCACTTAGCAGCAGGAGGCAGAAAGTGTCCTGGGGTTTTTGAATTATTGCTGAAATGAACTCCAGATGCCTGCAGAAAGATTGCTAAATATATACCTAATTGGCAGTTTCTTTTGTCTTAGCCTTGCTGCTAAACAACCTTCAAACAACAGCATTTGATACATTCTGAATTCTTTATTAGCACCTTTTTGCAAAATTAAATGGCACTTGTGCAAAGCCAGAGCACAACAGCATGCCAGTGCTTCATAAGTGACGTCTCTGGAAGCCTGTCTTGGGTATTCGCGTTCCTCTGTGGCGGAAGTTTTCTTATAAATTACAGTCTTCCTTTTACGTTATACGCACACCAATTTTATACCTCAGTTTTTATGCTAGAAAAATTTGCATATTTATGTAATATTAATCAGGCACCAAATTTTGCTATTTTGAATATTCAGCAAAGGAGAGCAAAACTATGCTTCCTGGCCTGCTGCCACTTCAGTGACTCATCTTTGCTGACATGCAAGCTAATGGGCGTAAAGATTTAGGATTGCTGCTTCATAGAGAAAAAGGATTTGGGAGAGGCAAGCTCATACGTCCCATGCTTCATCCCTCCTTACCCTGACTCCCACACGCAATGCCCACAGTACAGCTGAGTACTATGAAACTGCCTCCGGGCTCTGTGATTATATGTGTACATAAGGTAATGATTAGGAGTATATATATCAAGTCTTTGGTCTGGAAATAAGACAGTCTTAAAAATCAAAGTTCATATACACCACACTGAACCCTTTGCATATTCAAATAAATAAATGTGTTCTTTCACTGATTAAGGGAGAGGAGAGGCAGAGGGATTGCCAGTATAACCACTCCATCTGTGACACAGGAGCACACAGCACACTGTCGGCTGCTGCATTGTCATAATACACAATCTCTCTGCCTTCACTGCCTTCAGCACACCTCACCCGTGGCTGTAACCTGCTGCCCTCATTAGCCCAATATTCAGTACTCAGGGAGCCAGCATCAACAACAAAAGCTACTGTGCAGCCCTCTACCCTTTCTCCCTTCCCCAGATCTACTCGCTTTGATTTTTACCCTGCCTTCAGCACACTGGGCCAGTGCTACTCTACAGAGCAGGATTCAGACAAGGTTCAATCTAAAGTAGCATGGAAGTGCTGCTGTCACTTAACATATACAGGAATGGATGGACCATGCAGAACACCAGCACAAAATGCCACAGCTGTAAAGCAGGGCTCAAGTTTTGACACTTGCTAGATAACTTACCACTGTGATGGTAATCTGTTCCGGGACTCCGCCAGTCAGGCAGCATGAGGTGAGTATTAGGGACACTTACACAGACTTCAGCTCTATGATGCCTGTTTCCCACTAGCCATGTCAATCTTTAATTTATAATTTGCCTAGTCCTAGCAAGGGCTTCCTTCACGGTGTGACACTTGGCTGCAACACTTCACAAAAATCACTCAAGACAGAGTGAGCCTCCAGTTTCTAAGCTTCAGTTCCAGTTATAAACACACAGTGTTATTTTAAACACTTCAGGTTGAAAGTGTGGACTTTCAAAAACTTGACTACCATAGTAAGAATGCAAAGGATGGGAAAATCTTGACCTTGCAGATTTTCAGATGTCTCAAGAGAAAAAGCATATTGGGCAGCTGCTTCTAGTTAAATGTGTAAAGACTAATGACCCCCTTCAAAATCGTGCACTCTGGACAAGATTAATCTGCTCTTTGTTGACTCTTCAGCAAGGCAAGCACATAGCAGTGATCTGGTAAAGTTTGTGTTTGAATAACAAAAGATTTCAAGTCAGCAGTTCCTTCTTTGCCATTTCAAATAATACAGAATTAGGTTTAAATGCTGGAGTCACAGCTAAACACGTAAGGCAGCTCACAGAATCACAGAATGGCTGAGATTGGAAGGGACCTCTGGACGTCATCCTGTCCGACTGCCCTGCTCAAACCTGGGTCACCTGTAGCAAGCTGCCCAGGACCATGTCCAGACGGCTTCTGAGTATCTCCAAGGATGGAGACTCCACAGCCTCTCTGGGCAACCTGTGCCAGTTGCGCGGTCACCCTCACAGTGAAAAAGTGTTTCCTGATGTTCAGATGGAACCTCCTGTGTTCATGCTCATAGCCTCTGGTCCTGGCCCTAGGCAACACTGAAAAGAGCCTGGCTCAGTATTCTTTACACTCCCCCTTCATATATTTATATATATTGATAATATCTGTCCTGAGCTTTCTCTTCTCTCTGCTAAACAGTCCCACCTGTCTCAGCCTTTCCTCATGTGAGAAGTGCTCCAGTCCCTTAATCAGTCTTAGTGACCCTTTGCTGGACTGCCTCCAGTAGCTTTGTATCTCTCTGGTACTGGGGAGTCCAGAACTGGACACGGAACTCCAGGCGTGGCCTCACCAGTGCTGAGTAGAGGGGAAGGATCACCTTCCTCAACCTGCTGGCAACGCCTCTCCTATTGCAGCCCCAGGATACCATTAGTCTTTTTTACTGCAAAGCCACATTGCTGGCTCATGTCCAACTTGGTGTCCACCAGGACCCCCAGGTCCTTTTGTGCAAAGCTGCTTTCCAGTGGTCAGCCCGCAGCATATACTGATGCAGGACTTCACACTTCCCTTTGCGGAATGAACTTCATGAGGTTCCTGTCGGCTCGTATCTCCAGCCTGTTGAGGTTCCTTCCCTCTGGATGGCAGCACAACCCTCTGGTGTATCAGCTGCTCCTCCCAGGTTGGAACATGAGCAAACTTGCTGAGGGTGCACTCTGCCCCATTATCCAGATCATTAATGAAGATGTTGAATGGGACTGTACTCAGTATTGACCCCTGGGGTACACCGCTAGTACCTGGCCCCCAACTAGACTTCATACCACTGATCACCACCTTCTGGGTCTGGCTGCTCAGCCAGTTTTCAGTCGACCTCACTGTTCGCTTATCTAGCCCATATATTATCAGCTTCTCGCTCAAGATCTTCTGGGAGGCAGTGTCAAAGCCTTACTGAAGTCAAGGTAGACTATATCCACTGCTCTCTCCTCATCTACCAAGCCAGTCATTTCATCATAGAAGGTTATCGGGTTGGTCAAGTATGACTTCCCCTTTGCCTTCTCCTTTGTGAACCCATCCAGTCATCATCTGACTGAGCCTTCCCTGAAGCAGAGTCATGTACTGCAGTCTCCAGTGGCAGAACTGCACTGATGGAATTGGGTCCTCCCTCCATTTCTCAATATAAACCAGAATGCAACAGGCAGATGAAATTCTACGAGCAGGAGTGCCACCATTTTTCCCATCTGAGATCATGCAAGTAGAAAAACTAGCTTACTTCACTTACAGAAATTCAATGAATGGCCATGTTAGCTTCAAGGAAGGACTGAGGAAAGGGAAGCAAAGCTCTTTAACAAACAAATAATTGCTCCTTGGAAAAAAACCCAAGCATTTTTAAACACGCAGTTTGTGTGTCTATTAATTTTCTCCTTTTGTCACAGTCCTTCACCAGTTCACAGTGCAGTAGGGACCAGGCATTATCACATTATCTTTGGAGTCATTAAATGCTAAATGAGACTTCTACATTGTAGTGTTAAGCAGAGCTGATGACACATCTCCCTAAGGGCACCTTGGTCTTGTCCTGTTTGCATTAACAAAACCCCAAAAAGATACCATTACAGAGGATTTGAAAGGGAACTGTGGCAGATATTGGCATCTGTAAATCCTCTGCATGCTTAATTAAGGAACTTGGTGGTAATCTCTCTAAATAAACTCTGCAAAGGGTAACATTTCTGGCATTCTTGGTGCTTCCCAAAACCAAAACTGTCACTGTTATCTTCTGATGCAATGACACACACCTCTTGCTCCCATAGGGATACAGAGATTTGGGTTAGTTCTATTCATACAGGAGAAAGGAAGGATCTAGAACACAAAAGAGTGAGGCCAACACTTTCTCCCAGCCCTCCTCATATATAGGGCACAGGTTACAGAGAAACTTGAATGGGTTTCTACACTAAAGTACATCAGTGTATTTCCTAACTAGCCTGCTGCCTTCTGGATGTTGAAGACCCTAGCTAAAGAATCGAACATCTATGTCCTCTTTGTGTGCATGCACGTATGTGTACCTAGAAGAGAGAGTATGTGCACATGCAAGCAGCTGCCTTGTCTGGGAAGAGGTGAGATTACAGTAACACCTGTATAACTACGTTATAGATGTATGTATTACACAGCTTCCTCAGGACCCTCAGTTCAAAGGAGTAAAGGATGGAAAAGGAGTAGCCTGCAGTAATGCAATCTGCATGGCAATAACACTGATTTCAGCGGGCCAGACTTCCCTTACCTCACCGTTTTTATTTAAGCTGAACGTCTTCATAAAGTGTGCACTGAAAGCTAATGAGAAGATCCTACCTTCAAGCTTAACCTCTGGTGAATGTCTTCGGTGACTAATATTTTATTTCTCCTCTAACTTCTTGCCAACACAGGCAACCAACTGCTAACCTGAAGCTATGTAGTCTCCACCCACTTCTACCTTAAAACCAGCAGAAGCCCCATATGTTTCTTGTCTAGCACATAGTAAGCACCATGGCACTCTAGCAAATAGGCTATTTCAGCACCTGGTTATATCTGAAACTCTCCTCAGTGCTTTGGGAAACAGAGTAATGTCAATGAATCATTTTCAATTACAACATAGTTATTTCCAAGCTTGTTTGATGCTTAGCATTTGAGGAAAACGATATGCTTACTCACCATAAGGGATATATGCCAAGCCTACTGACAATGAAGACAATGGCAAATGTAAGGAACAGAAGGTCACTCAGTTTTTGACACTTGCAATAGTTTGCCATTTTGGCAGCCTGTAAAAGAAAGAAATGTCTGTTTACTTCTGTGAGGACAACTGAGTTCTCTTGTGTATAAGCTGTTAAGAAGAAGAAATCAAATTTTTATGAAATTGCTAACATTTTCATTGGGCCACCTCACAGTGACCCCGTAACTCCTCTCCACCATGTATGTGGAAAATGTCTTCTCAGAAAAAAAACCAGACTGCGTAAAACCAGAGTACATCTCTCATTTCTTCCTTCCCCATTCAATTTCCCTTTTTCCTTTTTGAAATCCTATTTCAGATTCACAAAACTCTTCTAAACTTTTTATTGAACCCCATTGGGTTTATGCTGTCCTTGTCCCCAACCTCTTCACCTACCTGTCTCTCACCTTTCCAGTATGCTCCACTTGCATTTTCAGCATCCATCCATCTTCCACCTGCCCCATGCTCTCTGACCTTCTAGCGTTGCTATACATACACTTTGTCTCAAATCCTCTGTTGTGCCCCATACCCTATGCTCTCCTCCAGCAACCCTTCTTCCTTTCTGGCCTACACTGAACAGTTTCTACCTCCAAGATTATACCCCTCCCCTTCAAATCTTTTTCCAAGGCTCTCTTCCCCTCTCTTTCCAACTTTTGCTTTCCAACTTGTTGCCCTATGCCTATTTTTACATGCTTCTCTCATTTGCCTTCATGCAGTCTTCTGACTCCTCCTCAGTGGAGTCTACTAATTACACTTCACTCAAAGCGCTCATTAGAACACTGATCTTCCCTGAAGTTTCTTTGCCCTCTTCTCCCTGAAGAAAACAGCATGTACAAGCAAGCTTGTTTTAAGACATCTGTGCTGCTTCCACAGTGTTCATGTGTGTAAGCAGTTACTTATTTTAAAACATCTGCTTCAAGGCAGGGGCAGTCTTTCTTTATGCTTTCTGCCAAATGTATCCAGAGTCACTGCACTATGAAGTACACAAAGAGCCTGATTTAGTGTCTGCTTAAGTCACTGAGAACCCTTTCAAAGCTCCCTCTGAGGGGGCCTGTATCCAGCTCCCATATTGAGAAGATGCTTACTTGTGCTGGTTTTGGCTGGGATAGTGTTAACTTTCTTCAGAGTAGCTAGTATGGGGCTATGTTTGGATTTGTGCTGAAAACAGTGTTGAGAACACAGGGATGCTTTTGTTATTGCTGAGCAGTGCTTACACAGAGTCAAGGCCTTTTCTGCTTCTCACCCCACCCCACCAGCGAGTAGGCTGGGGGTGCACAAGAAGCTGGGAGGGGACACAGCCGGGACAGCTGACCCCAACTGACCACAGGATATCCCATACCGTATGACATCATGCTCAGCATATAAAGCTGGGGGAAGAAGAAGGAAGGGAGGGACGTTTGGAGTGATGGCATTTGTCTTCCCAAGCAACTGTTAACACATGATGGAGCCCTGCTTTCCTGGAGATGGCTGAACACCTGCCTGCCGATGGGAAGTAGCAAATAAATTCCTTGTTTTGCTTTGCTTGTGTGCACGGCTTTTGCTTTATCTATTAAATGGTCTTTATCTCAACCCGCAAGTTTTCTCACTTTCACTCTTCTGATCCTCTTCCCCATCCCACTGGGGAGGAGTGAGTGAGTGGCTGTGTGGTGCTTAGTTGCCAGCTGGGGTTAAACCACAACACTTGTGCAGACTTTCCAGAGGGCTAAGAGGGAGCAAAATTGCCACAACTATGCATATAGAACACTATTCTGAATGCAGAATTCAAACCAGAGAATTGTCTAAAATGGTGAGGGACACTTGCATTCTGTCTGATTTTTTTGGTATGAACACATTGAACCTGAAAGTGCTCAATGCTTATGTCAGACAATCTGGATGCCAAAACCAGCCTGCACTTCTGGATGTTACATAACTTCTGCAATGTTTCCACCCAAAATCTAAATATAAAGGATATCCTCACTAACAGAAAACAAGTTAGGAAACTCACAAAATATGAGGAAAGCCACAAGTGCTGCAAAGAAAACATAACCCTTCTGAATCAGCCCCATATTCTATAGTGGACACAAATTAATTTCCTAGCAGTTTGTTTTCACAGTCTGGTTTAAGGAAAAAGAACACATTGGTTCCGACATGCACAGCAAAAGAGTTACTAACACCTTGATTTTCAGATGACTTAAAGTTCAGATAGGAATTTTGGATGTATTTCCATGGTGGCACTCTAAAAAAGGTGGTTTCATAGTGTGTGGAACTGATACTGCTATAGCAACTTGTGATAGCATCAAGCCATTTCTCAAAAACCGTACAGCTGCTGGGTCATCAGTTCTCAAATAACAAATCTACAAACGATATTGATAAGGCAGGAATACCAAAAAAGGGCAAGAGTAAGTTGTTGGATGGAATTGGGCCACCTAAGACAATACAACACAATTTTCAAAGCTTAAAAACCATGACTACTTCCCAATACTCTTGCTAGTCTATTTAAATCCATTTATTTTACATTCAGCTATTTGCCTTGGTCTGAAGTGTCCATTCCCTGCTCTTTTATAAAGGTGTGTTAGGAGACAGCTGGAATCTGACAGAAAGGATTCAGGCTGAACTGTCAGCTATGTGAGGCTCACACACCAGAAACATACTAAATTGGCAACTACTCACATCCATACACTGGCATCAAAATTGTCACAGTGTTCATTAATTGAAGCTGAAAAGTGTCAAGGTCCCCAAATAGGTGGGATTTTAAGTGCTTCAGCAGGTTAGGTTACAGTGTTTCCAACACACAAGCTGTACTACAGTGCAATGATACCCAAGATCCCTTGAAACAACTTAGCTGGGATTCTGAACGTTGCCTCTCAGTAGCCTAGATTTCAGCTTAAGCTAATGTAATGGCTTCCTAGGCAAGTAAATGACTCTATGTTTGGTCTGTCCTGCTGTTATCCAAGTTATCCAAGATAACTTCACTCAGACCTAAGAGAACAGCTATGTGTTCCTGAAAATCCTGCTATGACTCTTCTGTACCTGCAGATGCCTTAAGACCTATGGAAAAAACTTCACCTCCAGTATTCCTACCAGTATGTACTCCATTCTGCAATGAGAATAGCAAAAATGTTGCATTCCAGCTTTCCACTGGACATGTTTCATTATTAAATGGTAGCTGGGAAGAATCTGGAAATAGCTTTTCATTTTTACAAATATGCAATATGTAAAACAGGTCAGGTGCACAACTGACCCATCATGGCAAGATATTTCACCAGCTTCTTTTGCAGTTTAATAATTTTCTTCCTCTGCACTGACTCTCCCCTCAGTAATGTCAGCAGTGCGTAAGAGTCCTCCTTCTCTCATATGGTACCGGGGCTGTGACCCACTGCCCTAGCAGAAGAAAGTCTGTTGACTGAGTCATAATGGCCTTCCTAGTAAATGCTTCTCAAGAGTTGTGATTCTCTCTCTTATGCTTTAGACTGCCTTTAGTATTTCCAGTCAGAACAGACTGAACGAATTAACTAGAAAGACCACTAAAGTATGTGTCTCATGGGGAAGTGTATTTGCCGAGTGTTTGCAAATCACATGAGAATACCAGCAATTTCTCTTTGTCTTAGCCAGTGAATGAACAGAGGAATTGAGAAAAAATATGTATCTCACTGTGTTCAAGGTAAGGTTTTAGCTAGTCTATTACAGCTGCTCTCCAGTGGTTTTATAGTTCCACAGGCACTGATCTGATCTGGAATGAACACTGTCAAGTACATCTGTTTGGTGGTGAGAAAAGAGGAATGAAGAAAGTTTGGGTGAACGTACAGCTAGCAGAATGGATCTACACACATTGCTAAAACAGAAAAATGAACTTGTAAAGATGTAATTGCTTCTAACAGGAGAAATCCAGATTCTCTGTTGCTTGCTATCTCAGGCAGTCATGTGCCTTCTAGATTAAAAAAAGATTAAAAAATAAAAACAGATTTACAGCACTATTGAATCAGAATGGCAGGATTTTGATTCTGCAATAGGTGACTCACACAGTGAGACTATATTCTTGCATAACAGGATCCCTGCAACTACTTTAGTAAAAAATAGTTTCAGACAAAATAGTTATTAACTTTGGTTTGATCCCGATGGACAGTTCACTGACAGCCAGATCTCAGCATCACCCAGAGCTGTCTAAAAACTCATGCAGATGCAGGATGACAAAACCTCTAAATTGCCGCTACAGAAGTTACAGACCATCTTGATTTAAAAGACTTTCAATCATCCCTTCTTCTCCAAAGCCAGCTGTTTAATACTCGTATCTGGATGCGGAGGCATAGGAACCTGAAAAATCCTGGGGACCAGAGGTCAGCTCACTGTCCGTGCACAGAACAGCCACTAAGTTGTCCAGCACCCTCTGCCCAGCAAAGCACAGCAGAATTAAACTGTGACACCTTGATTCTTTTGGAGACAGGATTCTTGCCCCACACATCACTTCAGAAGGGCCAAGAACCAGGAGCTTCTATTCCATGCAGTCATCACTTTTCAGATTTTGCAACTTTGAGCTTTTGTCTTTACCACTTTGTATTTAAAATCTGTGTGTAACCCTCCCTGGCATGCAATGCATTACCAGTTTCTGCTCTGTACAAGCAACTTATCAAGGGATAAACCAGCCTAAAGTCACAAACATGCACTGCTACAAGTGTAATATATTTCAGCAAGGAAATACACTATATTAATCACCATTACCATCTTGAACTGGCCTCTTTGCTTAAGAAATACTTGTTTTGAATAGCAAATAGATTCCACCTATTGACATGCTCGCTCTCAGAATAGTGAATACCACGTACAGACACTGATGACATACATATTATCTCACCTCTAGGACAACATCAGCTGCATCATGAAGACATAAGGTCAAGGTTCCCACTCGTGTCAAATTGGTTACATATGAGAAGGTTATCAGGGTGACTGTTACAATGTGATGTGTAAACATGATGCCAAAATCCTAGAGCAGCAAGAAGCAGGGAAAAAAAAACAAAAAACAATGAACCAAACAGTGAGATTCAGTACTCGTATGCGAAAATGGATGGATGTTTTTTAAACCCAGCATTATGGTTATGTTACATAAGGATCCTGCTACATAAGTGCATTAAATACCCTGCTATATATTTCACTTAGACGGAATAACATAATCATTATATATTAATAAAATGCAAAGATTGTTGAAAGCTAGGCAATATCTACATTTCTCAGTTCATAGTAATTTAACCTAATGAAGTAAACATTTGCGGCTGAAGTTACTTTGAAAAGGTATATGTACATACAAATCAAGTTACACCATATTTCTTATACACCAAGCAACATTTAATATGCAAAATAACGCACCATTCACAAGAGTTCAAATAGCTACAAAGGAACAGGAAACACATTTCCACCACACTAGGAGTTACCGACAGTCACCTGCCAAGCACAACTGAGAGCTTTCATGGAGCTGAGAATACCAGTTCTAGTTTTTTATCTGTTTGTTTTTAATGAAGCTGCTTTGTCTTCACACTGTAAAAGGGTCAGAAAAGTCTTCACATGAGCTGGTGCAGCTCCTCCTACTCATATCTAATCTGCTGCCTCCCAAATGATCCAAGTTAGCTGGTCTCCAGATCAGTAACGCTGAGTTATTTGGCCAGCAAATAACTGTTACTATTGAAAAATGCCAGGAGCAGTGAAGCTCCTGTAACATCACATTCCCAGATACATGGGGGCAGGTAAAGCAGAGAGAACGACCTGCCTGGCCTAGACTCCCAGACTGATTACCAAGAGAAAGGACCCACAAGATGAGACTCTTCTGTGCAAGGCACCAAGTCAGTCAAAAAGAAGTCTTGCTGGCGTTTGCTGAACTACCTGCACAGCTTTGAGAAAGTGATATTAAAACCCTGAAGAAATGGTCACAGGCATGATTTGACTGGGGAGTTTCTCCATGCACTGGGTGCAAAGTTACTACCACAGCTCTCAGCAGATCTAGTGGCTCTCACGCAGGGCTGTCTGAAGGGAGAGGTCCAGGCAGTCAGAAGCAGCAGCTCCTCCAGGCAGCCTGCTCACCAAGCACCTTGGAGAGGTGGCATTTGGCTTTCTGGCAGCTTTTGTGGACCAGTCCTGCTGAGCTGTGGTAGTCTTCAGCTAAGCAGCCCATGGCATAGAAACCGAAACTGAGACCCTGCAGTCTTTAGAGAGGCAGCATGTGGTTTGCAAAGGGACTGAAGGTACATGTGTCAGGCAGGAGGGCCCTAGAGAAAGTGCTGGTGAGCTCCCACTAACACAGGGTCAACTCCAGAAAAGCAGCAGCTACAGCTGCCCACTGCTCTGTCTCTCCAGTACGGGGAAGAGTAACTGCCCAGTGTCACTGCATGTCTTTTTGGGAATGCAGCCAGACACGTAGGAGGCACCACTGCTTTCAAAGACATGCAGACCACTGCCTCTCTGTACCAGCACTTGGCTTCACTGCAGTGTACACCTGGAGTCCATGGAAAAACCTGCAGCTTGTGCAGCCTCACTAACTGAATAGGGACAGGACCTCCTCCCAGCCTATCACTTTATGTTTAATGCTATCAGGTCCTATTTCCTATGCATACTCATCAACGGGCAAATATGGGGGCAGGGGAGAAGAAAAGAAAAAAAAAAGACTAAGAGCAGAGAACCATATCCTAGTTTGGTATACACCCAACATTTCTCAGACAGGTTATTTGATCCCCAGCAGTGTGGAGCACAATCAAATACATTCAGCAGTCATCTCAAGCCATTGCTTTAAATCCATTTTCTTAAAACAGACTGAACAAAAAGAAAATTAAAGGCTGTTTCCCTTTCTAAGAGTCTTAACGGAAAGCAGAGGTATGGCATCTTAGTCATTTCAGTAACTACAAACCCACACATGGGGACCATTTCACCATACCATAATCAAAACAGCAAAGCACCTACCTTATTCCCTGGGATTAGAAGTAAGCATTGCCATATGGCCATACTGCAGCTCTTTACCTGCTTCAGCTGCAAATGTTATGGCACTGTTCTTCATTTTCCTTCTAACTGCAATTATGTTAGCACATAGGCAGTCCAAACAGGGGAAGAAGCCAACTAGAAAATTCTTGTCTGTTTTTATAGCTGACACATTCATGTTCTACAAATACGAGATTTCTAGTCCCTCTTGGGAACTCTTCAAAGCATTCCTGACAATTTGGATTATTCCTAAGCAGCCCTAATGCTCTTGAGCAGCAGTCTTCTGCACTTCTGCATGAGTCTACTTACAGAAATGCTGTCCAGGGAACTCCTTCTGTGATAATGTTTCTTAAAAGAGACAGTTACCTGACTCTGCCAGCTGTGAAATGGAGATGCTGGACTGACCTACTGAAAATTGTTAGAAAAAAGTAGAAGTGATATAAACAAGACTACATTTGTTATTCTGGTCCTTTCTTTCCTGTTTATGACATTTCTTTACGTCAGTAATTAATACTATGCTTTGAAGATGCTACCTGTTAGATTTTAATTATACATAAGGGTAATGAATACATAGAAACTAATGGTATAAGTCCCCATAATGTCAAGTGGTACTTGTGTTCCCAGCTTTCTCAAGCATTTTCACCCGTACACAGCAGAGCAGCAGCTGTACCGGAATGGGTTTTTTTGTTTTTTAAATATATTTCAAACTGTATGTATGTTTGTGCAAGATGCATTTATTTACAGCAGATTTGTAGCCTCCAGTTGTAAATGCTGAAAGATATCATGTGTCTGCGTCATGAAAATATGTGGCTAAGAAAACAGAGGCGAAAGAACCTACTCCTAACACCATCAGTGGGAAGAACACAGGGCAGTCAATGGAGAAACCCCATGGGTCTCAACTTGTAGACAAGTCCTCTGGAATCAAGGCTTCTGCTACCCACGCTTGTTTAACATAACACACTCACTGACTAAACTGCCAAGTGGCTATGGAGTTTTAGTGCCACTGAAGGCCAAAATATCATCTTCATTAGTCACTCCAGCTTCTGGAAATGGGCTTCAACAAGGAAGGGGAGTATCACCAGCTAAAGGTTTCAACCATTACAATTCTAGTAAAGGTCTGCAAAATGTACACAATCTAAATTCCTTTCCTCTGAAACAAAAGAAACCAGCTCTATGACTCTTTTTTTCACTGAGTTTGAAGAAAGAAATCTAGGATCCAGATTCAGTGAAATATAGCATAAATTTTTCTAGAATCAAAATGGAATATTCAAGAAAATTAGCAGCTACAGATTATTTTATTTGGGAAATGAGTGAACTGTCATATTTTAAAAAAAGTAAAACACAGAAGCTCTAGGAATTTCCAAATGCTTGGAACTAAAAGGTGTGAATACACAGAAAGGTCTCCTGGATCTTCTACAAAACTGTTAAAACACAGACTGAGTAGAAATGTTATACATTCCCTTAAATACACCAGTCAAATGTTTTTCTATCAAGCAATACTTCAGGTATCCAGAAAGCATGTAAATAAGCCTCACTGCTTTTAAAACTCATCAGGGGCTTGTGAGAGTAACAAAGTTCCCCGATCTAATTTTTTTTCTCCGTGTTTTACGGAAGAGGAGTACGGGAAGCTGGACAGAGGTGATAAAAAACAAATCATACTAGGTTGCCATCTTTGAAAATGAAAACCCTTAAGGGTAGAACATCATTACAGCAACAGTAGATATTTCTGAAGCAAACAACATGCCATTATAAAACTGTAAAAGTTAATCTACTCAGTTTGCTGCCTTAATGCCAACAGTAGGTATGTGCAACAGCCTAGTTTGGTCACAGCTCTTCAGCCAGGCAAACATAATCTGGTGGAATTTATAACACCTAAATAAAGATAAACAGGTATTTGAAAGTCAGCAAACCAATTGGAAGTAATTTTAAAGTAATGAATTTGCTATTAGAGAAGAACAAAACGGACATGAAAAAAAACAAGTACACTTCTCTTGAGGTACAACAAGTAAAAGACCATTGCTGGAGTTAGGCCAGTACCAAGTGCTGGTGCTTTCAGAGAAGACCTACTGCACCTCACCTTGAGAGAAACCCAGCTACGTAAAAGCTGGTGGCTCAATTCCTGCAGCGCATGAAACTGCCAGGGCATTTTTGATCATCCCAGACTACAACACAGCCACTGCTGAATTTAAAGTATCTAAAATGATAACCAAGACTTACTAAAAGTATTCCTCTCACTGTAGCATGAAGACATCAACAGGTTTCTCAGGCTAACTGTTACCCTACTCTGTATAAGCTGTCATGAAGTATTACAATAGCATCTGATAGTAGCTGGCAAATTTCCTGCTTCTTCCAGTTAAACAGAGCTTTATTTCATATGGGCACTGTTTCGCACATTGCATATTGGGTACATTAAGAGGTTTTTACATTTTTTAAACTAAACCTGCTCTTTAAAAGAGAAGTATTATGGTACTGCAAGAGCTGGTGTCTCTGTCAAGCTTGTACTACTTTTTGTCAACTACTGTAAGCCCCCAGTGCTAATGTTTTTCAACTCATGGGTTTTCTTGACAGCTTGCACCTGCCCCTGGCCACAGAACAGGTTCATTGTGTGACACCAGTGCATGGCCACATTTCTCCAGTCTGATCTTCCTAGTTATCAATTTTCCTTACACTACATAAAGAACTGTCTCCACAGTCCAAACTGGTCAGTGATCTAACAGGTTATTTACAAATATGGCATCTTCACTGTCTCCTGCAGGCTGCTTATAATGAAATGCTTTTGACTTGCTATCATTGCACTGCAGATGATGTGCTCCTGCTCTCTGCTGGACACTGGATGTTCTCAAACACAGCAGATGCATGGGACACTGCTTTGATCTGGTGCTCTGGGTTTAAGCACTGCAAATCTGCTGCAGGGGTGTTACTTAGCTGTTAACAATCCACTTCCCCACCTCCATCTCCCATTCTATTTCCACAGCAGGCTGCTGCAAAGTCTTCCTGATAACAAGTACAAGTCATCTATATATAACTGAGAAATAGACTTGAAAAAGATTGTTTACTTGCACCTGTGCTATGGACAGGATCAGCCTTTAGCTCTGTGCTCAGCTCACCAATGGGAACAAACTACCCAAGTCATGAGGGAAAAAGCTGTAGCATTTGCTCATGAGATGTATTAACGGAGAAAGGTGTTACTGATCCTCCCAATGGCCCTTTTCAGAAGTGTACTTCAGCGCTGAACCTAGATGCTCTTCAGGTAGCCTCCAATTACTTTTCACATGGGCAAAGCAACTAGTCAGGAATCAATTCAACAGTCTTTAAAGATGTATTGTACTGCAAAATTGCAGTACTGTTCCAATTGCAATGCTGTTACATTTTCCTCTCCCTCAAAAGGTACACAAAGAAAATAAAATATAACCAATGGCACAGTGCAGAGGGATGAATATGAGGGCAGGGGGACTGATTAGACACGATACATTTCTGCAGCAATAACCTGAACAATTCCGTAACATTGCTGCAGAGGTTTGGTTTCGATTGATATATTGATAAACGGCTATTCAGTATTGCTGGGACCTGCAGCTTACGTATATTATTCAATCTTACTCTTGATTTAAGTTCATCTCCACTATAATACAACCCCACTGAGCACTGTTTTTTTGCATCTCTGTTTTTTGGAACAGTGAAGTTGTATTCATTTCAAGCTCATGATTAACAGAATGTTTAGCATTTACAGACAATGCAAGCAAGGGATTTACATGTATTCATCCTGAATTGGTTGTTTTGTTTACAATTTACCCTCCAATATGGATTTAAAATTTGTGGGTGTTTTCTTGAGATGTCTACTTCCGGAAAAATTTGACAATTCAAACAGAGGGGGGTTTTTCAATATATGTAGCTCTGACACAAGACTCTCAGGAGCCCACTGTGGTTCCAAATAGCAGATAAATTTATTCAGAACATACTGGATCCTTCATTTACTCTTCTCAGAGTTATACTCCTGCTAAAATTCTAGTAAACAGGGATTTTTCCATTAGCGTAGCCTAAAATAATTTAATTAAATGACAGTAGAAAAAGGCACATAAAAATATTATAAAATCCTTCAAAAAGTTTTAAACAAGTAATCTTACAAGACTAAAAAACCTTGCTTAATGGACTGTTATTATAGAATGACTGTCATGCTGTCTGTTCTGCTATGGACTAGCAGTCTCCTTGGAGGAGAGAACTTGGATGAGGAAGTATGGAACAGGTTGCTACTGATACTGGAAAAATGTTTTTATCTGGCCAGAGTTTTATTTTCTTGATTAATAGCCCCTTAGCAGCAATGCTCAGCTACTTGAAATTTCATAACCGTAAAGATAAGATTAAATGTAACACCACTTTTTAATATTAAATGTATCCCTGTTTTTACCACCCCTTTGTAGAACAAATTGAAAGCCCTCATAGATCTTACCAAAGCGATACTGTGAATTTATGAGGCAGTCTTGCTCTGTCATTGATATTTCATCATTTAACTCTTAGAAGAAACAGTACGTCTACTTGCTACTACGTGTTCGATTCCATTCAAGTCACTGTATGAGAGCAGAAGTTTTTTTCGGCTGATGCTATTTCCCCTTGAATATTTGATTACTCCAGGCTCTTCTTCCCATGTGCAGAAAAAACCCACATCACAGTAACAAGGAACAGAGTAAGACAAGCACTTCAACACCAGTTTCTCAGTGACAAATATCTGCAAGAGGTGGTGACTAGAAAGAACTCTATTTCCAGTTCACTGCACAGGTAATACAGGTATTTCTCAAGTTAAGAAAGACATGTGCTTAAAGCTTTCGATGTTTTTAGTCTCATTGTTCTTACCTTTCTTTTGATGTCAATGAATTGAGAAAACATTAAGGACCAGTAGAATGACAATTCAACTATGTAGTAATAATGAAGGTCAGGCATCAGTGGCTGAAAGATGGAGATGAGAAAAGGTTAATAGAGTCTAACTGACATTACAGGCAGCTGAGGTCTACAGGAGACATGCTTAATCACAGGGGGATTATTGAATTATACATAAGCATCCTATGTAAGAAAAATGATGATGGTTGCCTCTTTCAAACTTTGATGGCTCCGGAAAAACTAAGCTCCCCAACCTACCCTCCTCTTATGTTTTAATCTTGACAGTATTGTAATATTGTAATACCAAAAAATTATGATGTTGTCCGTTTGGAACCTAGAACAAACTAAATTCTGAGTACTCCTAATCATACAATCATAGAATGCTTTGGGTTAGAAGGTTGCTCAGAGCCCCAGCCAACCTGACCTTGAATGTTGCCAGGGATGGGGCCTCTACCACCTCTCTGGGCAACCTGTTTCAGTGCTTGACCACCCTCACTGTAAAAAATTTCTTTCTAATGTCTATTCTAAATCTATTCTTCTTTAGTTTAAATCTGTTATTTCTGGTCCTGTCACAACAGGCCTTGCTAAAAAGATTCTCCCCATCTTTCCTGTAGGCCCCCTTTAAGTACTGGAAGGACTGTTTTGAAAAGATTACTTGAAACATCTTGCTGTACATCAGTAATGTGGGTTTAAAGCACAGCAAAAGAAACAATGCTAGAGCAGATTGGAGAAAATGCTAGTATACAATCTCATCTGTTCATGCTGAAAATGTTGTGAGCTTTAAACAGGGCTCTTTCTAATATAAAAGCCTACTTTTAAAGAATTTAACCATTTTCTGGGAAGATGTTAACATTTGGAAAGAAGAAAATAAAATTAATTTATCCAGGCATCTTGTTTGATATACAACAGGTTACACAGATGTTTGAAAGTAAAAGAAATAAAAATAACAAGACACAGGAACTTACACAAAACCAAAACCAACCTGGGGTAACTCCAAAGAAGGTAACTGGTGGCATGCATAGGCTGTTTAGCCCCCAGCCTAAGAGAGCCAGTCCTAGGAGCCACTCTAATTTCCACGCGATTGTGCCTCCCTGCTAGTCATGTCTTCCATCGCAGTGACAGAGAGAGGCACTGGCACAGGAGAAGCTCCTGAAGGCATCTCCTGAGGGATCAGATGAACCATCTCTAGAGCAGTTTGCACGGGCACAACCATGCACCCAAGCAGGGCATGAGCTATTTCCATTGCCAAGAGGCATTTCAGTTGCCTCTTTTATTCCCATTCCCTTTTGCAGACCAGTTCTTTGCAGCTGAAAAACAGTCCTTAGGGTGCCCACTCTATGTGGGTTATTTAAATATAGACATGTGCTTATGCTTTATGAAAAATGTGTACACTCAAAATCAAGCTTTTAAAGCCATTTCTTGGGCCAATATAATCATTTTCTGACTTAGTGAGACTGCCAGTAAGCTTTTAATTAGGTGTAATTAAAAAAAAGGGAAGAGAACATGAGCTAGCAATGAACCATGACTATTACACTCATTATTGAAAGAGAACTCACTGGGGAGAATTTCTAGTAAAACAATTAACATTGTCAGCTGCTTTATTAACAGTAGCATTAGTATTTCTAAACCCGATATATAATGATAAGGGGGATTCTAAATATATCATGGTTTCCCTCCATGAGAGGATCAATAGTGTGTGTTTAATTCAGTTTAAATGTTAGGTTTCAGTTCTCTATAGACTTAACTTCAATAGTACTACTCTGTGCTTATGGGTAGAGTCATCACCCAAATGATCCATTTGACTTTATCTACAGTAAGTCCAGCTGGATTTCTGCAATGCTGTGCTGAATAACTTACAAAGGATTTGTAGCAAACACGAGATTAGAAATTTTGTCTAGTTAAGGAAAAAAAACCCAAACCAAACTGAAATCCCAGTACTTAATCTTGATTAGCACGCAGTAGACATTTTTATCTCTGAAACAATGACTTTGATAATGACTTTTATTTGATGATTTGCTTTCTGTTGGACCCTCTCCACTACTAGCACGATTTTAGATATAGTAAGTTTAGTTGCCACCCTCTAAAAGTTGTAACTAACTTTCTGCATGACCTTGTTCTTCTGGTAAGTCTGGTAAATACATGTTCTTTAACCAGTGAGATTCATGGTCTTATGTCATAAGTGAATCTCTCCTTGCACGTAATAACACAAAAATAGTAGAAAACAGGACTGAAAGGCACCAGTGACTGCAGCCATATCAATTCTGACAAACGATTATTCCTAAAATCTCTGAGGGATGAAGATTCAACAATTCCTCCATTCAATTTCTGCTGCTGCTTCCCTAACGTTATTCAGTTCAACCTTCAGTCCTTGGGTGGAATTGAAGTCATTATTTCTTCTGAGGCTAAATGATCAAATTCCTTCAACCTTTCTCAGATCAAAATTTCTGGTCATTCTTGCTCAGCTATCTCCACTGAACTATTTCCATCAGGTACACAACCTTCAAGAACAGTAGAACTCAAACCTAAACACAGTTCTCCCGTTCAGCCTGCCCAGGCCTGTTCACTGTCAAAGGGAATTCATGTGTCTTTCAGTCAATACTCTTCTTCATACTTCCAGTCTGGTAATGAGGGTTTTTTTCCCCTCCCTGCCCTTTAGGGGGGAAAAGAAAAGCAAAAGAACAAAAAAAGCAATATTTTGCTCCTTAAATTGCAAACTCTTTGGTGGAGCTTTTGGAATTCAATGTCAATTATATTTGGACAGCAGCTAGCACATTGTCTCAATGATCCCTATTGAAACTCCTGGATGCTGAGTTTAAAAAAAAAAGGGGGGGCATTTTAAAGAAGCTCAAGTTTAGAATCAGAATTCAGACTAATCAAAAAAGCAACCAAAAGTTATCCTCAGAAGCTATTAAAAATTTTGAAGACCGTCTTACTAGGTCACATTGGAAACATTTGTTACCTTTGATTTATAACAAAAGGAAAAATTATACTTCACAACTTTAATATCTTGTTGCCTCCTGTTATACAAAGGGTATTAAGAAAACAGGTGTCTCAGCTTTCCCCAAAGGGTTTCCAAAGTCCATTCCTAGCCCAAATACATGATGATACTTTTTCCTTGAAAGGACTACCTTACTGTTATTATTAATAATAATAAAAGGGAGCATTTAATTAATTCACTGATCCTCACAACATCCATGTTGAAAGTTACTTCTGCCAGACCAGGAGGCAAAATGAGACAGTGGTACAGACAAGACAGAGCTCAGGAGTTATCTTTTCACTATGTCCAGTTAGCACAAACTAATGGAAAGCACAGGAGAGGTTTCTCAAAGCTCTCTGGGTATGCAAACTTTGGAAGCTGCTGTTCAGCCAGATAATGATAGATAAAATTTCTACCCTTCTCTTTTCACTTATCCTGCTCCTTCTTCCCCTGGCAGAGAATAGTTTCTGGAGTTGTAGGGCTACAGTTAATCCTGGTGTTACTGCAGCACCTGCATGCCATTGAAGCAACTGTGCTGCTGTGAAAGATGGCCAGAACTTGGACCTAGGAATTAAATGTTCCTGGAACTAGTTAAAACCTTAGCAATGCAGTAAGGAATAAATACACTGTTACTGTTCTTTTGAAGACTGTTTTAAGGAAACCAAATTTCCAACTTGAGCAAAATTTTTTTTGAGGATTGAAGGAGGGAACGAGTGCAGCAGGACACAATCTGAAAGGGCATTTTTACTTTAATGGTGGCATTCTTCTCCTTACTAAAGGAGATAAATGACTTAAGTCTTTTCTTTGAAGTTATGTGCTTTGACCTAGAACAGAGAGAAGGGCTAATGCTTTTTGAATTAATGAAAATACAGACATTGCTGAAAATAAAGACTTGAAACCATTCTCAATTCTCTCATTAATTTTACCTTCTTTTGTTGTAAGCTTCTGTGAGGCCAGGACTGGCTAGCCCCTATTTAAGAAGCTAAAGGAGAAACCTACCTTCTTTCTTTAGTCTCCTCTTTCACCACACCAACTGCCAGGGATTAAGTCTCACCCCATATGCAGTATAACAGCCATGAGAACTATACTGGCTTTTCCCAACCTGCTGAATCTGAGGCTTTGCTAAAACTTTCAGCATCTTCAGAACTTTGTAAAAAATGACCATTCTACCACCCTTACAGATGTCTGCTTTCACAGTTAGATCTCCCAGATCTGTTTTCAGATCCTGTGCTTCATTTCAAAACAGGTGTCACAGCTATATTCAACTTTCCTGTCTTGAACTCAAGCAAGATGGGGAGCATCTAGCAACGTTCTGAAATGCCGAGTAGCCCATTCACACTAACATATTGACAAAAAGCTCCACCATAATAAAAAGAGCTCTGCAGAGGTGTCATGTTTGTTTTTAGGCAGCACTGTAACTTTTACCTGATATGGATACCCATTCCAGCACTGTCTGGTATTCCAGAGCCAGGGTGTCTGAGAGAGAAAAAAAAGAAAAAAAAAAGGTCTGTACACACCATTTTGGGCAATGTAAGTGTACTTAACAGGAACAACTTAAAATTTCCGATTTTTTATAGAGGCTATGAAAACTGAATACAACAAGGAGATTCCTCAAAGTTTCACAGCATGAATTAGAGCAACCTGCCTGTTCACCGAGATTTTTTGTTGGTGCACCATAATCTTATATGAATAGCTTTTGCAGGAGTGCAGGCTGAACATAATCAGCTTGTGCTCAGGTCTCACATTACCTTCTCAGTAGCATGGGAAGTCTTGGCCCTAGGCTGCTCAAGTATTTTAAAGAATGTCCCTTGCATGTGCTGTTACATATAAGCATCCTTCCATACAGGATTCATCCTTCATACCAGCCACATCAGCTCAAGAGAGCAAATCATACCTTTGCTTTCCTGCCTGAAGACATGACTGTCCAGAGATGACAGATCTTGCTATCACACAGAAAATACCCTGATATCTTAGGGCAACATGAAAGGTACCAGAGCAAATCTACTGTAGCATATATCTACAGACTCTCGCATTGCAAAAAGCTGGGCAAACTAAAAGACTTGGGGACATGCAGATCTGTTATGCTTCCTGTTACTTTGCTGCTTGCACAAGATTTATGTGATTATTTCTCTTTCAATGCCACAAGAGAGCTTTTTGAATCTTTTCTTGTAAGCAGGTTGTTTCTTTCAGAGTTCTCTAGTTTTTACCTCCTTTTCTGTGCAACTAAATAGACTCGAGATGGAAAATACCATATGGGCAAGCTCTTCTACCCAACTTACTCAACCATTAATATTTCCACATTGGGTAACAAGAACATGACCAAATCAACAGCTACCAAGCAGCCACACTTCACTTTTTGTATGTGAGTAGGAACAACTCCCTTCCAATATGCATGTCATGCAAAGCACAGCTGCATCTCAGGTTCTGGCAGCATCTGGACTTTGAGAAGCACATGTCTACAGTACAAGTAACCACCCACTGATTATCTCACTAGAAACATGAAAGAAAACTGTGGATTCAAGATCTTTGTGCAACTCCTTTACATAACCTTAACAGCTCTACATCCAAGTATAAAGGGGGCAGGATATTATTAGTAGGTCTCCTGGATTAAGGCACACATACCCTTACAGCATTAAGTGCTTCCACTAGATTACATTTTTTCAAATAAATCCTCATTGTACGAGAGACAGCATTTTCTTGATTTCCCCATCAGGTGGAGCAGTTCAGCTCAGGCAAAGCGTAACAAAAAACTCATCCAAAATACGAGCGAGTGTCAAACCAAATAAAATGAACACTAAGCAGAACGTTAAAGCCCCGGGTGGAGAATCAGGCTAGTAGAGTCTTTATAAGTAGGAAGGATTTGTACCGTCTCAAAAGACAGGATAAATGCTAGTCAGAATTATAGCCCAATTCCCAACTGATACTTAAGTTCTAATTGTGATTTGTCTTATAAAAGGTCCTTATAGCCTTTGTTGATTAACAACAGTGTAATATGATTACTAAAGGCTCTTCCTAGTTTTTTGAATGTGTTCCTCCCATGGAAAATAAGATAAAATAAAACTTGCACACCAATACCCCCAATGCTCCTGAAATGGAAAGGAGTAATTCTTACAGTAACCTGAGCAGTATACCAACATATAAAGTAACACAGCTCCTAGAGTTTCTGATATGCCTCTCACAAGGATGCTGTAAGAATGATTAAAGGCCATCCAAACTTCTCCTTCTCTCTATTAGGAATAATTATTTCATGCAAGCAATTTTTTTGTTCAAACATCTCCACAGCAGTTACTGTGCTAAGTGAGTTCTCCTCATTTCATGCAACAAAAAAGGTTGGAAACAGCCACAGCCCGTCTGCAAGTGTTAACTAACATACAGAATCTAAAATGGTTCTGTCTGACAGCTGCCTAAATTAGATCTGTCTGAATATTGTAGGATAATTCATAGTTTTAGCCAGGTTTGAAAAGCTGTAACTGTCTTTCATATCAGATTCAACAAGAGATAAGAGATGCTTCCTACCCAATTATTTTGCTACCTAAATTACAGGTGCTAGCAAAAAAAGCACATTTTTCTCTTTCAAATATTATGACATTTTAAGGCTTCTTCAGAGAGATGCCTGCTGTAGGAGCTACAGATACAAAGGTTTACGTGCAGTTAATATGCTGAATGTTAAATAAAATAGGCCTTGCTGAAGGAACCCATAACCACAAAGCCTGAAAGGATACCACAAACTGACAAACAATATAATATATGCATTAAGCCTCAAAGACCAATGCACTGCAGAACATCTGCCTCTTCTGAGCCACATAAGGCTCAGAAAGCCACGCTGCCATCTCAAACAAAATGCTTCTGAGTAGCTGTTTGGAAACCTAATGGATCCTACGTGGGCAACAGTGGCTAAGACAGCAGGGCACCTAGACCACCTTCTTACCCCTCTCCCCTCCCCAGTCTCCCCTCCCTTTGACTTGCCTTGGCATCTCTGAGTTGACTTTAACAGATGCAGCAGCAGGGGACTTTGGTTATGCTTGCCCTGGAGGGTTTTGGGGAAGAGGTAGCACAGCCTTCCCCTCTGACCTCCACAATGAACACAGTCCTAGGCTGAACCTAACTTTTCCATGTAGACCATAGTTATAGTTGGAGCAAGAAGCATCTTGTTGAGTCCTCTGTGAGCCTCACAACTGCAGGATACTCTGTGCAGGCTTCAGCCGGAAGGAGAGAATCCTTACAAAGCCCACACAGTCTGCAGTGTGACACCTAGACACACTGGTGAAGGGTGGATTAATCAGAAGGGACCTAATACTGGCATTCTCAGGGCTCAGCTGAGCCCTGTGTGTGCTCACAGGATACGCCTGTGAACTTCCTCACACCAGGCAAGCTCACCATGGAGGAGAACCCAGCTCTTCCTGAAAAGTCCCATGATGGATGGGGAGAAAACGTCCGTGACTTGGCTTTGCAACAGATCCTTTTTGGATGAACATAAAAAGTGTGCTACTGCTTCCACTGCCTGTTGAATACCCAAATTTCCACTTTACTTCTTGTTCTCGGTATATAAGCTCTGAGGAAGGGAAGAACCTGAGGGGACTGGAGAAGAGAGGAAATGCAAAGATCCTGATAACAAAAAGGCACCCTTAAGCTGGAAACAGAATAGTAAAAACTTCAGTACCAATTATGTCAGGCATAAAGCACCAGCCCTACAATGCTGACACCCTCCTTTACAGAACGTAAAGGAGTTCAGATGGAACCTTAAGCTTTACCACACTTCGGTGCGGTGCCTAATCAGTGCAGTATCAGAGGAGGATGATAAACAGCTGTTGAATCTGCTGTCATTTACAGTATTAAGGAACAAATCTCTATTTTCATCTCCTTATAGGAACATCTGTCAAAAGCTCCATCAAACCTCTGTCCAACTCTGTGATTAAAGGGAGTAATTTTAAAGAACTCCTTCAGAAATAAAACTTCTCTTGAGACAAGGGAATGACTGAGGATTTGGGAAAAAAAAGAACAAATGATCTGAGATGTCTGCACATTTAGCCAGAAGTCTCAGGTTGTTTTGCATCCGCTGTCCCATTCACTTATCCTTAGAGAAAGCTTCTAATTGGGCCCTGGCTTTCAGAAGCCCCAAAGCAATGAAAATCTGCATGTCTTGCTCAAAGTGCTGATAGTACCTAGGATGTAAAAGGTCGGTTTTGATAGTAAATGGAGGGGGAAAAAAAAGTAGTACAATAAAAAACCTTCCATTTGTGTTCTGTTCCCTAGACAGCTGATTTGGCTGAAAGGTAAATATTACCTTATAAATAAAAGGTGTATTTTATCAGGGTAGCAACGGAAGCACCTGATGAAGTATTATTTTAAAATAACAAGGTAAATTTTGGTTCATCATACAGTAATAAAAATAACCAAGAATACTCCTCTCTCATCCATGTGTACCCAGCAGAACCCACTGAGTATAGGAAGCACACAAGGGCCACAGGCTAGGTTCTCAAAGAGAGAGACGAGAGCTGTACATGTCACGAGCCAGTACTTTCCCATACTGTCAGCAAGCCAGCCATCAGATATGTGTGTATCAGGCATGTCATGGGTGTAAGTGAATTCCACTCACATTTTATAGAATCAGTTTGCGTCTTAAATATAAATATATATACACATAGGTCACATAAATTTGCAAAACAACTGCTTTTGGGCAGCTGAAATTACTTCCACAGTTCGCCTCACTGCAAGTTGCTGTATCAGCAACTGTGTCGTTTTTCCTTGTACCCAGCGCAACTAGAAACCCCCATATGCGAGTTGTACCCACAAGCACTGGTGTTGCTTTGCCCTTGGAAGTGTGAGCCTATAGATAACTAAGAGATGTGCAAAAAATGAATACAGTGCTGCTGGCACTCTTTTTTTTTTTTTTTTTTTTTTTTTTTTTGTCCCAAAAATTTAAAAAAAAAAACTTTTTTTTTTTTTTTTTTTTTTTTGTAGTCCATAAACTTGAAACAAGTAACATATTGAAGAAACACTTCCAGAAGTACATGACTAAGCCTCACGACAGCAAAACCCCAGCTCTCCACAGAGCAGCTTCTGCCCTAGCAGTTTGGAGTATTAGATAGAGCTGTTATGCACCTGATGTACTCTTGACCACATGGGCATGTTTTAACTCCCAAAGGGGTTCTTCCTAAATTCTCAAATAATTAAGAAAAATCTTCTAACTTTTCCAGCAGATAAAGAAATACAATCTGCCTGCTGTTTTTATCAGAATACAGCATGTAAAAATCCAGGAACATGATGACAGAATCCTCACATCTCACAAAAGCCTATTTATGCTCAAAACCACATTTCAAACCAAAATGAGACATCCTCAGTCCAAAAAAAGATTTTAACCAGCACAATACAGAAATCCTGAGCATTCACTGTGTATATGCTCACTACTCTGCAATCTCAAAAGGCCAAGATTTTTCTGGCTTGGTTAATGCGTTTGGATACAGCTTTACATAATT